TATAAATCACATCCCGTACAGCTAATTCCCTCAGGTACAGGATTCCCTTCTCTATAGTTGTTTACTTGTCTGGTAGACATACAAATTCTTCCTTGAAGGGATACCTTTCCTTCACAGCTGACAGGAGATGCCTTCAAAGGCTGTAAGGTGGTGCTCCGTATCCAATTGCTTTGTCAGTGCCTGCATCTCTAGCTGCTAGGAGGAAAATTAACTCTATCCTAGCTGAAACCAGGACAAGCAGCTGTGAGAGAAAAGAGTAAGAAACAACCATGCAGCCACAAAGGTTAGTGAAGAAGGAGGGAGAGGAGGTACTACAAGCCCACAAAGAAGACCACGGACTGTCCACCCATGGAGGACTGTGTGAGAGCAGATGTCCAGACTGCAGCCTGGAGGACCCCATGCACGTGGATATGCCTTAACTGGAGCTAGCTACCACTCAGGGAGACCCCACACAGGAACAGACTCCCGGCAGGAGATGTGGCCCAGTGAAGAGGAGCTCATGCATTAGCAAATTTTCTGGTAGGACCTGTGACTTGTGGTGGATAAATGCTGGAGCAGTCTGTTCTTGAAGGCCTACATTCAAACAACCAGTTGCTGGAGCAATTTTTGAAGAACTGCAGCCCAGAGGAAGGACTCAACATCACAGCAGTCTGTGAAGGACTGCATTCTGTGTGAGGGATCCCACACTGGAAGAGAGGAAGAGTATGAGGAAGAAGTGGCATTTAGATGCAAACCAACTGCATCCCCTGTTCCCCATAGCTTTTGCACTGATCAGGATCAGAGAAAGTAGAAGAGTTGGGAGTGAAGTTGAGCCTGGGAAGAAGGGGTGTGTATGGGGAAACGTATTTTTACATTTGTTTCTTATTGTCCTAGCTCATTTTGAGTTGGTAATAAAATTAGTCTTCCCCAAATTGAGTCTGTTGTGCCTATGATGGTAATTGGTGAGTGATCTCCCTGACCTTATCTCAACCCATGAGCTTTTTCATTTTACGTTCTCCCCGTTTTGCTGAAGTGGGGGAGTGAGAGACCAGCTTGGCCTAGCAGCTAGGTGTGTTAACCTACAACGCCTCTGTTTCCTGAGCAGCCTGGATGCATCCATCTTAGCACTCCAGTCACATGAGCTATCACCCTGTCTCCTTGATCTTAGCCTTGTAACTGCATTCAGATTCCCAATTCCTTCTGTTTGTTCTCTATGATGTGTGTAGTAATTCAGAAACATCTCAGAGAGATACCTGAAAAGAGCATGGAAACTTTCACTGTTTTCCTTTTCAGCCCTATTCTGCTGATTGTTATGTCCCTTCTATTCACATCACCTCAGAGCCCCTTGATGGCCTACTGCATCCACCACTTCCTCATTCAAGTGTTGTGGAATCTCTACCCCCTGTTATTCCTAGTTTAAGGCTGCTCTTATGAGGTTGGCAAAGATACTTTTTACATATTTAGTCAGGTGCATCCCATCTCTTCAAAACAGCTGTCAGTCCTCAAAGAGAGTCCCATGGTACTAGAAACCAAACTCAAAACAGGTCCCGAAACTTGCAGTGCAACTGATTGTTGGCCCACAGGATCTACTCAGTCTTCCTCATGCCCTTACCCTTCCTCACAAGATAAAGGAGTGTGCCCTGAACTGCAGTTCTCAGAGTTACATCACGGAGCTTTCCAGGTCATGCTTGGCAGTTGCTAAGCTTAGATAGATTTGTTTATGCAGAGTGATGATTTAATACATATTTTACTATAAATTCTGGAAGGTGTTCTATTCTTATTTTACAGCAGTCAGGTAAGTAACCAGGCCTGGTCTGGGAATGAGGAGGAATTACATAACTTGAGAAAGGGGAATTGGAAACTTGGAGGGATGGAGGTGAGTAGGACTGTTCCTTGTAGTATTAGCAGAGCATTAGATTGGCTTTGCCCATTTGCCTATTCACAGCCTTACTGAGCCTTACTGAAACTCAAGTGATACTCTAAGCACGTATAGTTACTAATGTTCTCTTATAAATACATTTTTTTTTTTATTTATGCTAATAATACTTAATATTGTCATCTGTTAATGTGACAAAAAGGATGTTAAGAATTTTTTGAACCCTAATACTAAATAATCTTCATCTTTGTGTATGCATTTTGCTTTATTTTAATTGAAACATATATAAGGTACTTACTTAAATCCTTTTCACTGACTAATTTCTGAATTGTGTTAGTAAAATGATTGCAGCGCTCTTGGCTAGTACTTCAGAGACAGTATAAGGAGCAAACCAAATGTTTGTTCTGACTATGATCAGTAGTTGCTTTAACCTCTTGAGTACCACATATTTCAGCTGCAGAATGTCGGCTACAAGTTGTGAATAAATCAAGTAATTCTGGAATCTGTCCTGTGAATAATACTTAAGAGGGGAAATGATTTTTAAAGACTTTTAATAAGGCTGCTTTTACAAATTTCAGAGGAAGCATACTAGCTAGTCACATTTAAGAGGTGTGTGTATGTATGCATAGCTAATGTGTATGTATAATGTAGAATATGTTTCTAATTTAATAAACAATAAATTCTAAGACTGAACAGAAGCCATAGACTGTGCTTTATAATTTAAAAAGTCTGTGTAGAAAACCCTAGGAAAATCATAGCTCTAAAACAATCGGTCTGTTTAGAAAATGCTTTTAGGGGATCTGTATGTCAAACCCATAATTCTCTTAAAATGATTGCATTTAGTCACAGGAAACATTTCTTCATTGACTTTATGCTGTTAACAGAGGTAAAGAGTTTGCATTTCCTAGAAGGATGTATGACTTTAATCTGCACATAGCAGTACACTTTAAATGCTTTCTCTTCTATTTGGAAACTTGAAACAAACTTCAAAATGTTATAGATCAAACTTTGAGACTTAATCATCGTATTGAAGTTGCTAGTGACAAGTGGCCAATGGTTTAAAGAGCTGCTATAAAGATGATATATTTACATTTTCTCACTTGCACTAGTAGAAAAAAAGTCAACAATCAGATGTACTAACTGTACTAACTGGCTGACATCAGTAGTGGGCAAAATCTCAGTATAAGTACTTTTGATCAGTACCTCAATGGTTTCCACGTTGAATTGCTTTTGTTGACATGTTTGTTCATTAGTACAGATCCAGACATGATTCAATGTAGGAAAGCAAGCTTTCACTGTTTTCTCAGGTAATTTTTTTTTCTAAGGCACCAAAGATTGTTGATTAATGGAGTACTTCACTCTCATGCTTAACATGGAATATTGGATTTTTGAATAAAATGTTGAATAAAATTCTCTTCCCTTCTTTGATTTATGAATTCATCAAATGAAAATGCTATTTCTACCTTGCTAAAGTACGATTTAAGCATTTGAAGTTGGCAGCTGATGTTATCCTTCCAAATGTATTCACTTAAGGAGTTTTCAAGCAGACAAACCAACAAAACTCAGTTAAATGGGAATGACCTCTAAGGTTTTCAGAAGAGGTCTGTGTAGAACATTAGGCAAGAAACAGGTGTTATGTTTAGCATTTCAACCATGTACAAGCACTTGTGAAATCAAATTCTTGAAACTGTTTTACTCTATCTATAAAGTGTTGAGAAAAGTCGAAGTATTTTCACTAGCAACTGAGAGATTGAACAGCTTCCACCATGTGAACAACATGAATTACATTGTCGAATGTCCTTCCTAGCAAACGGCTGATACTCACAACAGGTTTGACAGAACATGAGTGAATTACATGCAGAATCTGGAAAGAAGGATGGGAGAATTTGATTTTTAGGATATAGGAAAATGTGAAAAGGTGGCAGGGCGGGATAGAAGGGGCAAGTGAAAAGGATCCAGGTGCTTTACCTTTTTTTATTTTTTTATTTTTTTATTTTTTATTATTATTATTTTTTTAAATCACAATGGTGAGTAACATGATGTATCTCTGACTTATTACACTATTATTTATTTTCAAGTAGTTAAAGATTCTACAAAGGAAGAATTGCAGTCAAAATGAACAATATTTCCACTGTATTTTACATTTGTTGCTTTTTCAGGTATTGAATAGCATCTTCTTGACCTCGATGTTAACTTTATTATTTAAGTATAACAAAGTAAAGCTTTTAGCCTATTTTTTGTTTTGGCTCATCTTCTATTCGAAAACAATCCTAAGGGGATTGGAGATGGAGCTTAAGTGAACATAGAATTTGTTCAAGTCCTGCGTGCATATACTAAAGCTCCTAAGACACAGTGGAGTATTTTAATGTGGATTAATAGATTCATGTTGAATTACAATATTTCATGTTCTGTTTGCAAGATAGGGACTTGTCTTTGAATTCAGGAGAGACACTTCATTCAACTGTTCCAAGGTGTTAGTCTTATTGGCATGGCTTTCTCTTTAAACACATGGAAAATATTATTTGCTTGAATTACTGCAGTTAGTTATGAAACATAAAACCCATAATCAGCCTCTGATCTCAGAAGGCTTAAAAATGAAACTTTTGAATTTAGCTTGGTGTACTTGAGATATGGTAAGTCATGTCTTGGGGTTGTTGGCTAAAGGCTTGGTTAAAGGCTTGAACTCGTTTGCTCCAAGCTGATTTTTTCACTTCAATTTTAGTGTTGTTTGCACCAAATGGAGTGGATCTGTTTGTTTCTACTTTCCTTGAAGAGAAGGGAAAAAAATGTAGAGTGTGGAAAACATTACTATCATACTGTTTGTACATATCTGTAGAACTTGTTGTGTTGTTCTAACTACTTTTGAAAGAATAGAATTGGTTATTTATTTTCGACCCACAGTTGCTACCACTGTTTGTAAGATATAGAGTTTTTGTAGGAGTATTGAAACATTTCTTTAAACTGAAAATATAACACCAGAAATTGTGATTTGAAATTAAATATTTTTTTTAAGTTAATACTGTGTAAATTAAAATTTGTCTTGTTAAAATTGCACTGATAAATATATTGTTTTTTAAACACTTTCAGAATTAAAGCTATATCATTAATGATGTTTCCTTTCCTTTGCTCTTCTTTCCTTTCTTAGGTCGAGATTTGATATGCATACAGTCCATGGATGGGATGCTAATGTTATTTGAACAGGAAAGCTACGCTTTTGGGCGTTTTTTACCTGGTTTTCTTCTGCCTGGTCCATTGACTTACAGCTCTCGGACAGATTCTTTCATTACGGTGTCTTCCTGTCGACAGGTTGAGAGTTACAAGTATGTGTTCATATTCAGTAATTATTGCATATTTTGGTGCTGTCATTTAGTATGTAAACAAATAAAAGTAGTCATGTTTGATTTTTATTGCCTTTACTGTAAAAAGCAAACTGTGTCCTGTGGAGTTTATGGTCACGTTACATATTTACACAATGAAAATAAGTTTGCTAGCTTTTCAAGGGTAGATTATGCTGTCCTGAAAGTGTCAGGCTCTTCCCTGCTTCGGTTCAGTCTAATCTGTTCTTTCGGTTTTGTCTGTACTGTACTGCTAGAGCAAGATAATATTCCCTCCAGTAGTTTCAATGTGATGTTTATTTTGATGCAAATAGGTGTTAGTCTGAAGAACCTGCTCCATTTTCTGAAGAGATTTGGAACATGGGTTTGTTCATGGGATCCTCCTAAAGGAATGAGGGCTAATGTGGAGAGATGGAGTCCACCTGCCGAAGTGGCAGTAGAATCTTGTTAACCTCATTGAGCCCTAGATTGGGGGATAGGTGCTAAGTCTTGCAACTGAATGATGGAACAGGGATTAATTGTCAAGTGCAAAAAGGAGGATGACTTAATAATCTCTTAAAGGAAGTTCAATGAGTGGAGGCCCATCTGAAGTGTGTATCAACAAACACTTGCAGCCTGGACAGCAGGGGAGGAACTGGAAGTCAGATGTGCAGTTGCAGAGCTAAGATGTCACTGCAGTTAGAGATGTGGTACCTTGGTGCTGCAAAGCTACCTTGTCACATTTGATGACTCCAGGCTCTTAAGAAAAGACAGACAGAGAAGGATATGTGTTCACCACAGAGGAACAGCTTGAATACACATGGCTCTCTCATGAAACCAGCATGCTGAGTTTATTGTTCAAATTCAGATGAATGCTAAATGCGAGGGATGTTGTGGAAAACATCTGCTATAGAGCCTTTTTTTAAACAAATAGAAGTTTCCTATTGCCTCCTAATGGAGGACCGCTGGGAGGGCAACACAATGGACTTCAACATCTTGGAGTGTTGCTGGGGTTCATCAGGGAAAACTTTTTTGATACAGGTGCTAGACATGCTGGGTAGGCAAGAAGCTTTGCTGAATTCATAGCTCAGAAATAAGAAATAAATGCTTGGAGAAGTAATAGACAATGGCAGACATTGCCTGCAGTGACCATGAGATGATATGGATTAAGATCCTGATAGAAGTGAGGAAGATATTCAGTGGAAATGAAGACTACATTTCAGGAGAACAGATGGCCCTGTTCAATGAACTGCTAGGCGGGATCCTCTGAGAGACAGTCCTAAAGGGCAACAGTGCTCTGGAGAGCTATTGAATCTTTGTGGATAACCTCCAAGACCAAGGACAATTCACATTGGTGTTCAAGAAGCAGCAGTAAGCGGCTTGACTGAACAAGTAGATACTAATGAAGTTCAAATGGAAAAAGAAAATATATGGGAGATGGAAGTTAAGACGGACTACCAAGGAAAGATACAGAAATATCAAGTGGGCATGCAGGTGATGTAACCAGGATGATATAACCTCAGTTAAAACTTCTACTAGCAGAGAATCTGAAGGACAAGAAAGACCCTCACAAATACATCAGACATAAAAGGAAAATCATATGCCAACTACTGATCAAAATTATGTGCCAAAGCATAAGAAGGTGAAGGAGATCAACACATGCTTTGCCTCATCTTTTCTCTATTAAAAATGGTAAGGTCTGCTTTTAGGCCTTCTGGATCTTTGTGCCTAGCAATGAATCTGTGGGTATGGAGGCATTACCCATGATTTAAAAAAAAAATAAAGAATTACAAGATGGATGGAAGAAGTGGCAAAGTGGCAGAGCTGTCAGGCTTTTAGAGTAGTGGTTGATGGTGATTCAAACTGGCCGACATAAATAAGTGATATTCCTCAGGAGCTGATATTGGAACCAATATTTCTTTAACACTGTCATCAAAGAGCTGGACCATAAGAGAGAATAAATATCCTGAAATTCAAGGATGATGCCAAACTGTAGGAAGTGACAAATACAAAGAAGTTAGGGCTGTCATTTTGTCAAGCTGGAGGAATGGGCTGACAAGTACAATATGGATTTGCAAAAAAGCTTATTTACAACCATAAGAAGGAATGTAAAAAATAAATATAATAATTTCGTTGGTTGTTATTTATTTTTTGAATTTTAGTCTCCAAGCAATCAAACCATATTTAGAAGGAAATACGCTGTCCCTCCTGCTTCCCTCTGATGTCTTGATCTTGTGGTCTGTTTAAGATTGAAATAGATATTCTTAGAAGTGTGAGAAGCAATATTGTATTATCCCAAGGGTTCTTGTATTTCAGTTCAGGATTTACTTTATTTTTATTATTATTATTGTTTTTTTTTTTTTTTGTATATATACCACTGAGTATGATTTCCTTTGCCATACAGCTATCATGCAACATCTTTCTGAACTGTTAGTATGGGCGGCTACCAAAGAATCAAGTAGGCAGAAACCTTTCAAAATTATAAAAAAAAAAGTGATCTCAGCAGAAGCTATGTTGTTTGTCAAATTCAGAACTAACTCTGTTTAGTGCAGATGACTGACCATCAACAATACTACTGTTAGTATATATTTAAATGTGTTTTTGAAAGATGGATTGGTTCTGCATATTTTAGGACTGCAAACAAGTCAAGAGATACTGTGAAGTTTGGGAGTTTGCAAATAATGCTTTTGCAATAGAAATATTTTAGCACCATTATTTTAATTAACGATGTAGATAAGTTGTTGCTGTCACTTTTCAACCACCAGCCTTTTCACATGAATATATTGCATATTTCTGTACTGAAATGTCACTTTTTGCCTACTGTAGCTTTTGAAGAGCATTCCATTTAAAATAAGAAACTATCTGCGTTCCTGGTCATAACTGTAGAAATAACAGTTCTGCCTTTTTAAAAATTTCACTACAATACCTGTTTGGAAAATTATGTCAAATGCCATCTCATTCTTATTTTTTATTCATGAAGAAAGCAATGGATGATGCTGTTCTTTGATTTGATCAAATTTGATTTATATCCTCACTAAACGTTGAAACACTATTATGTTGCTTGAATAAACAAATAGCTAGGCTCCAGTACTGACCCCTGGGGTATACTACTTGTGTACCTAAGTCTCCCTCTGGACTTGGTGACACTGACCACAACCTTCTGAACCTGCCAGTTCAACCAGTCTTCAGTCTACATCATTGACTTATGTAGCTTGCACATCATCAGCTTATGTATGAGGATGTTACAAAATACAGAATCAAAAATGCATCTAAAATGAATTGTACTTTCAACATTAGCTTGGAGTTATATTTATTCTTTGGACTTCTGTAGTCTTCTGGGTATGGTAAATATTTTGAGATCACTTTTCTCTGGGAGATATCTTCAATTAAAAACTACTGCTAACGCTGGTAGCTCCTCTCTGCAGTTAAGCAGTAGAGAACTTGGGAAGCACCAATAGTGCTGAACTGAGGTTTTCTTCATCTTAAAGTGAGTCTTTCAATGTCTTTTCCCCAAGTCATACCTACAGGCTACTTTGCTTGACCTCCACAGCTTTTTCCCTGAAGCTGCAGATATTTCACCTACACAGGCTCTTATGATTTCTGGTTTTAGATATACTGAAACACTCCACTGCACAACAGATGCTACCAACAAATTTTAGGGAGGGATCAAAAATGTTGTCATGCAACCACCTTAGGTGTCTCTGTGAAAGAATGATTAAATGAATGTGGAAAAATAATTTCTTCTTTGTTTTGTGAATAAGTTTGATTATAGTTGTCACTGATATTTTCCTCCTGGACGTACATTACTTTGCTCCTAGTAACGAGAGCATGAAGTGGAATGCCCAATCTTTGTTAACCACGATGATTGTTTTATTTCTTTCAGTTTTTATTTTAACACTGATCACAACTATTATTACTAATTATATACCTACAAGTCATTAGTTCACTGATACAGATCAGAATGTGGTTTCTGTGGTGGGACTTGGCCTTGATTACAGACATAATGTAAAGCATTTAAAAAATCATAGTACCTTGTTTAGAAGGGTTTTAATATATGTGAAGTGTAGCTTCCTGAAAATGCACGGAAACATCATATCTTTAAACTTTATTTTCTTGCTGAAATAAAAATGCCATTTTCCTGATTTTCTTTTATCTGAAAGTTTCTTGGTATTGATGTGCTTTGGGTGAGAGAGGGTAAAGGTGTGCTGAAATATCAAAGAAAATAAAAATACAACTTTTTTTATAAATCATGTTTCAGGAATCTAATCCGGAAAATGTAAATCTAACACAATGCTTTATTGTGATACTGTATGTTATCCTGCTTTATCACTCGATTTTCTCAAGCAATACTCTTTTAATTATGTTGCTTAAACTTGGTAAAACATTCCTGGATTCTAGATATTGCCCAAGAAGTTTATAGACATTGTGTTATTAATATGGGAGACAGTATATATACTGCAAGTAATAGAATATTATTATTAAAAAGAAACTAGAGTGTATTAAAATTTATAATGAATAAAGTTTTTTTTTTTTTCTTAAAAATAAAAAACTTTTTCATCATGTTTAGAGTCTTGGCTCACTGCTCCAACAAATGTGGGTTAAATCATTCTTTGTCATTAATTCACAAATGTGCTGTTTCTATTGTAGGAAGGTGTTGTTTTAAAGGAATTTGCCTCGGATTCTGAGTAGTGCTCTCTGTTATTGTCCAGTCTTAAGACACTGTGGTGCTAATCTTTAGCATGCCTCTGAACATTAGATTAAAGTTAGTTAATACTTCTATAGTGAAGGAAATAGACATAGTAAGGAGAGAAGTTGTTGTATTTATGGTTGTATTAATCAAATATATATTTTTATATTTCAGTAACGAAAAAATGTACCAGTTTTATCTTGTCTAAAAGGTTGCAGATTATTCATTTTCCTGTAGCTTATACAGACCAATGACTTCGTTTAAAAGCAGTATTTCCTGTGTTGATTCAGAATTTTTTTCAAGGTCTAAAAGCAAAATGAGTTTTATAGTTAAATGATTGTATATTTGATATGATAGCTGAATGGGAAGTTTTTCTGTTGGTCACCTGTGATTTGAGTTTTTTTGTGACGAGGAACTTGTGTTTGTTTAGGTGGTACTTAAACACCGGTCCATAAACATTAATGCATATTACTGCTCAGTGGGAATTTGGTTTGAGAACTATGTATTAACCCACAATTAGTTAACAAAATGATAATATTCTAGCCCAGTTTATTGCTAAAATATGCTTAAGATAGAAATGTTTCTTAGGTCAGAATCTGCGGAGTGTACTAATTTACTGTTATTTCTTAGATTGGAATGATTTGATTCATTCAATGGATGCTTAACTATGAGCTTGAAAGTGTAACTATTATATATAACAGATTGTACTATATATTTCATGGTAGTTTAGGAATTTTAAACCTTATTAAGTGGAAAGAATGTTTATCACAATCCTAATTTCACAAATTGAAAATATCTTGATTTCTTGGCTCTATCTCACTTGTAATCTGTATTTCTATCCTTTAATTTAATTAGCTGTTCAATTATATTAACACAAGGAAAACTGAGTAGAATACTTTTTTGAAATCTGCCTTACACTTAGCTTTTATTCTGCAATGTTATTTAACATCTTTGCTGATAGGTGCATTGCATCTGACAATCCTTTTTAGGTTCTGCTTCTACTGTGTATGTATATTCATAACATGATAATTATATATACATTTATTTTTATTTTTTTACCTAAAGGTATTAACAACAAAGATTTTTTTTTTTTTTAAACTTCCTATAACAGATATCAAGTGCTGGTATTTGCAACAGATGCTGAGGCAAGACAAGAAACAGTACAGAAAAAACTTAGTTCTGGAAAAAGACTTGCGGTAAAATCTGTTAATTACATATATCCTGTATGGTGCATTGCATACATTTTAAAAAGACCAATGTTAAGTAACAAGTGGAAACGTTATCTGCTGACAGAGGACCTTATCCAATTGCTGTGGAAGGCAATGGAAAGACTCCACTAGATTTCTGTTAGGATTTCCTTGTGCCATAGGTTGGGCCTTAAAACTTGCTGCTGTTCTAAGAAAAACAAACAGACAAAAGAATTGTATACTGAACATAGCTACTTCCAAGACAATCTTTGTAATGCAAAATCTAAACTGTAGTAAAACAAAGATACCTGAAGTATCACTAATTTAAGTCTTTTTTTTTTTTTTTTTTTCTGAATTTGTATTCAACTTACAAAATCAACCTCATTGTACCTGATTAGTCCTTTGTACTTTAACAGAAAACTTGACATTGAAAATTGTTTCCATAAATAGTCAGTATCCTGGACTCTTGTTCTCAGAAAAAAACAGTGAAATCAATGGTCTTCAGGAGTGCCCTCTGGATAATAAATTGTTTAATATTTGAGCTGCCTCTTATTAAAAGGTGGGGAATTTGTCTCTGGTCTTACATTAGAATTGCTTGTCCACTAACTACACTGTCTAAAATGATGGATTCAGCATATTTCAGGTATGAGAGTAAAATACAGGGAGAACACTTTTCCTTACTCTCATTAATAATGCATATTTTTTTCACACACTATGTTAGTCAGAATCCTACACTTTGAATTAGAAGACATCATAAGAAATTTGAAAGTTTCCTCAGACAAGCTGCAAAAAAAAAAAAAAACAAAACATTTTTAACTGTAAGTTGAGAAGCATACATGGAGGCAAAATAAGCTTGCCTTATTTTCCTCTGACTTTTAAGATGGCACTTCCACTTTTGTATGTCAGATATGTTTACTAACGTATTCTGTTTTTTAAGCAAAAGGATTGATCATGTAGGAAGTCATGACAGCTGAATATTTTTTTGACTTCATAAATTCTTCATTTGTTTAACCAATTCGGCAGTAGTCAAGAGCACTTTTAGCATGTGTGAATTAGTTGAAGTTGAGACGAGCTGAAATAAACTGATGAAATGTATCAATAAGCTTAAAGATGTATTGCTTAAAGATGTAAGGATATAGGCAAGACAGGATTTCTAAGAAGTCATTTATTGTATTAGTGTACATAGTTGGAAAAGTAGACAAGCTTTCATATACACAATCATTCTTCAAATTGAAGGGTGTACATGAGTGACTGCAAGCATGAATGTTGGCCTAAGAACCTTAAATTTTATTTTTCCAATTACATACAGTGTTGGAATAAGTTACCACCTTTGCTCTGTGACATTGCCTTTAAAATATAAGGATGGGGCAGTTTTAAACAATTCTATTACTTTGTTCTTGGAGGGTTTAATAGAGTGTAAGGCAATGCCATCTAAAATGGCACAAGTATCTTAAAATTTAGTTGTATCTGTAAAGCATCTTGATGAACACTTCTTTATAAGTGTTTCTGTTTGTTTTTAAATACACAGTTGTCAACTGATCTCTGAAACATGTTATTTATTTATTTATTTATTTATTTATTTATTAAAGGTGGATTGGGTTCTAAACATTGGAGAGCAAGCACTGGATATATGCATTGTCTCCTTTAATCAGGCAGTTTCCTCTGTTTTTGTGCTTGGTGAGAGAAACCTTTTCTGCCTTAAGGATAATGGACAACTTCGTTTCATGAAAAAGCTTGATTACAGTCCAAGTTGCTTCCTTCCTTATTGTTCAGGTTTGTAAAAGGAAAACCTGCGACCTTTAGCTTGGTTACTTCTCCAGCGATGTTTTTTTCCTCCACTGAATAAATACATTCTTCTGAATATGCTGTTGATTTGTGAATATCTAAACAATCAAATTTATTTTCCAATATTGTTTAGAGCAAAGTGTCATGACTTGTGGAAAATAAATATGTATTTTCTCATCACCAAATATGAGGTACTTCGGTAGTGTTTGAGTAAATTTGCTCAGACTACCAAGGCAAAAAACAAGAAAGATTTTGGAAGAGTAAGCAAGCATTTGAGGATCTTCTGTCACTTACTGATAGGGTTTTGGAAACATTAGTATGGAATAGAGTAGGTTAATAGGTTCTTAATATCTATAATTACTATAGTGGTTCCACATTCAAGTTGCTGCAACTCATTGTAGTAAGTTTTAAATTTTAAAAAGCCAAATATTAAAAAGTTCATCAATGGGAGATGAAGCTATATGATAAATTTTTGCAACCAGGCCTTATTTTAGACTTAGAATCTCATTTTAGACTTTGTAAATATGATCTTAATATTCTTCAAGTATTTTTCATACTTTCTGATAGAAGTTACAAATAAAACATAAGTTTATACTTCTTTAATTGGTTTTCAGGGGTCAGTGAAATATTAGAGTATAAGTAGCTGATTTTATTTAACTAATGTGTATTTTGTTATATCTATTCTGGCATGCCATCCTTTTAATTATGATGAGTCTTTCTGAGCCATATTTTATGTTAGCAAACAGGATAGCAAGGTTCTAGTTAGAACCTTGGAAAGTTTTGGCATGTGTGTTGCATATTTTATAATTGGTACTGATATAATTAATCACATATATCCTTGGTTATTGTAAATGTAACTTTAATAATTTTTGACACTTTAAAATTCTATAAAAATATTTATAAAAAGTAATGGCTTAAAAGAAAATGAATAAATAGTGTAATAATAAAAGCCTAAAAAAAAAAAAAAAGACTGGGTTATGAAAATATCTTTCATGCTAAAATAATTTTTATATCTTTAACAGTGAAAGAAGGAACAATAAACACTCTAGTTGGAAACCATAGTAACGTGTTGAATATTTATCAGGATGTTACACTGAAATGGGCTGCTCAACTTTCCCATGTTCCTGTATCAGTAAAAGTAGCAAACATACAGTAAGTAACTTATTTACTTCTTCAGATTAATTTCCAGTAGTGAAATTTACTTGTAGATCCTAACAAGTGGTTCTGAGGTATGTAACAAATAATGTACCTTGGAAAAGGTAAATTCAAAATGTTTTTTGTCTGTTGTAGAAAATAATACTTTCCTTAATTGCCTTTCTGTTAATTCCAGAATAATATTGAAGTTCTGTCCTGTGCTTTAGACTTTGTTTTTCATGAGTGAAGATAGAAATTGGTCTCTCGTACCTCTAAGGAAGTAGTTTCTTCTTTAAAAGAATGAGAAATGAAGCTTTGGCGTCTGTTAAGATCCTTCCCTAAGACAAGAAAATACGGATTCTCACTGCAATCCTGTTCTTCATTAAACATTTAAGAGCATTTGAATTCCAGACATGATTTGTTGGAACAGATTATTGAGCTCCCATGTTAAACTATGGAAATTAATTTAAGGGGCTGTTTAAAGTGGTTAGGATTGCACTGCACCAGACTTTGTGTAAAATACGTGTAAGGTGGACAGGTCAGGGAAAAACCTGTCTGGTGCAGGATGCAATGCAGAAAAAATATGACAGTGTTAATTATTTGTGCTGAGTCTGTCATTGAAATGAGAAGCAAACTACAGAAAAGTTCAGCTAGTACTTTTACAATCCAGCTTATGCCTGTACTATGTGAACATATCAGAGCCATGTTTGTGCTGGCTGCCTGTTTCCTGAGACCACAAGGACATGCAGTAGGAGTGTCCTCTTAGGACAGATTACCTCTGATCCCAGCAGGCTTATGGCTGGTGTGCCAACGTACTCTGTATTGTTGAATACTTAACTCGGTCGTTAGTTGTCTGTTTTATCCCAAAGTCTCATAATAAATGAAAATGCAACATCTGACTAACTAGCTTTATTGATTTATGTAGAGTAGAAATCTGTGAGTGATGTTTGTGTTTTCTGTTTGGTGCTAATGATTACCAAATGATTTTTAAGTAATTTATAGTTTAAAATTCTAATTATTTTGGAGACTCTCTGAAGAGAGTTCTGCTGGCTTTCATCCAACAGGTCTTACATGCAAAATGTAACAAATCATCTCAGTGATCCAGTTAGTAAAGAAAAAAAGCTAATTTAATTATGCAGAGTAAGACAGTACACCTTTTGTAGTTTGAAAAAAATAGTCAGCGTCATTAGAAAAATTTGAAAAAGTATTATTTTTTTTTTCAACAGCATATTGTACAGACATTTGTATATTGAATTATTTAGTAATGCATACCATCAAATACTTGTTCTTATTAAACCATTAAGAAGTTTATGGATTTTGCCCATTATGTGTAACCTTTAACACTCTGTTGTTTGATCTTAATGAGAATTTTGAGAGCCTGCTAATTTGTCCTAGATCATTTTGCTAGCTAGATGCAAAATTTCCACAGACCTACTGATGCTAGTTTTTTTTTTTCTTTTCTTTTCTTCTCTCTGTGAGGTTAGAGACATCGGTCTAGTTATGCAAACCTCTTTTTATATAGGTTCTGGCAAATGAAGGATTGTGTGTCTGTCTGTATAGACCCAACGGCGTGAAAGACAGGGAGAAGTATTGGGCATATGTGCTATGCTGCTGGCTTTGTGCTTAAACATATGTGCTATGCTTGTACTTTCTGATGTTCAAAAAAAAGATGTGCTAAACAGCAAAAACTGCAGTAGAGCTTACAGAGGTAATAATTTGGTTTAAACAAAAGATATGTAAAAAAAACAAAACAAAACAAAAAACTTGAAAGGGAATTCTCATTTTATGTGAGTAAATGTGATAATGACTTTCTTATACTTACTCCACTCAAGAGAGGCCTCAGTCTCAGTTGGAGCCTCTGAGCACTACTGTAACATAAATAATATTAACTACTTTAATAACCATAGAGTTGTTAATCCTATACTGCTGAGAGATGGAAGTGCCTTAAATATGACCTATGTCAAAGAATTATTTTCACATGCTTTCCATTTTTATTGCAATACTTGAAAAGTAAATGGAGCACTCTGAAAGCAGTTATCTTTACAGATCATGTATGTTCATCTGTATCTTTTTTTTTGTTGGCATATAACATCTATTACAGTTCTCTGGGTTTCTGGGTAAGAAAAACATTATTAGAAGCTATTTTATGTAAATTCCCTTGGGGAAGGGGTAATGATTGCCTTCATAATGGCAGTCATATACTTTATCCTGTAATCTTGATAGTCTGCTTCTAAGATCAGCCCTTCAAGTGCTTCAGAGAATTTCAACTGACTAAGTAACTTGTGTTTTTAATGTGCTCTTCCTTACTTGTTATGATTTTATTTTTCCTCTCACAATAATGTGAAATGCAGTATTTCCCTATTGCAATACCGGTTTGTAAATAATGATAATAACACATTACAACCTTTGGGATTAAACTCAAAGATAAAGTGCTTGGTTTCCATGACACCACTTTCAGAATCATACAAGGAAAAAGTAGAATCAAAAATAAGTGGTTACCAGTAACATTTTTAGTAAGGTGTGTCTGTAATGTAAAAATGATGTATTTTTAAGCTGTTGAACTAGACATTTTGCTTTTCTTCTGTTGTAAAAACATTAATGTTGTCTGTCAGGGAGTTGAAAAGCAAATTTTCCTATAATAACTTTTGATCAGAAACTTGAACTACAGGCAAAAATTTGAGATTTTATCTTACTCTGGATTTTACCTGAAGATCTCTATAACTATTGTCACTGAACTGAAAGTTCAGTTCTAATCACTGTTTTAAAAGTTTGTCCCTTATTTTGTTAGAGGTTTATATTCTGGTTCTATTAATGTGTAATACTTAATAACAATGTTGATGACATTGTTTTAATGTCAGGGGGAGTCCTAAATGCTTAACGCTGCCTGGATTGTTTCAACGGCGTAACCACTCGCACTGAAAATTTGGATTAATTTAAACTGCTAGGTCATAGCACACATTCAGCTTCTAACTGAAAAGTTCTGGGTCGTTATTCTTAAAGCTCTAACTGTACAAAAGCATTCTCTCTGAGGCTGAAATTCTTCAAGATGGTCTAGGTGTTCTGCCTGAGTTCATTTAAAACAAACGAAAGACCTCCCTCCCCCCCCCCCCAACAAACAAACAAACCCACATTAAAAACAAAACAAAACAAAAATCAACAAACAAAAACCCCACACCCTTCTAGAGTGCTTTGAAGAGAAGCTGTCCATATGATGCAGTTAAAACCGCTGGAATTTGGGAAGTTACACAAAGCAGTTGCAAGAATACCTATTCCACCTCATTTTTCAATGTTGTAACAGTAACTGTGAGCACCAATATGTGCTTGCTGCCCCACATAGTTATATACATCTTCTCTGCATTGACTTCAACTGCTATTCCCTTTTGTCTTATCCTTTAATTTAGATTTCTCTCTTTCACTGGAGAGACCTCTTTGCCAAGACCTTTACTGCACCTCAGCATCTCTTTTGCAAAGGAAATTTCATGAGCAATATCTTTTTATGTTCAAAGATTTGATGCAGTCACTTTTTGGTGTTTCGTATTAGATGTATTAGATTTTCCTCTCACCCTCTCCCATTATTCAGGTAATTGTGTGAGGACTAGGCCTGTAAGAATGTGCTTCTGACAAGGTTGTTTAAAGTTCCTGTTGGCTCAAATGCCTTACATGAAAGGCATTCTTTACCTATTGCCAGGGATTTGAGCCTGTAAAGTCAAGTGACTTAATCCTTTCCCCATCACAAAGGTGGGTTATGTTTGTCTGAATCATCTGAAATAACTTTTTGAGAAAGTAGCAAAAGCCACTTTTTAAGGGCCTATTAGAGGTCATATTTGTTTTTCTGTGCCTGAATTATCCTGTCTCTGTACGCTTGACCATAAAAGGCCCTTGGAGTGGATTAAAATGCTTAGACCATCCACTTTTCTATTTATTTGACACTGATTCACTTGGCAAAGCTGTTCCTAAGAGTACCATGTTTTAATGGCGGATTGATTGCACTAAGTATTACTCTGACCTGGCTGGCCTGAAACTAGAACATTATGTTAAGGTGCATTCAGTCTGAAGCAAAATAGCTCATGTTGCTAGCCTCAGGGATGTTTCCATCACAAACATCTGAAATGCCACTGTGTGTTGAGTTAAAACCACATAGATAACAACGTTATAGCTTGGATGTAGTCTGAGGAAAGGGATTTCTGTTTTGATTGCTTCCAAGTTAGAAATCTGTTTTTGCAACAGGAAAGCATGAACACTCTAAATCTAGGACTTTGTTTTTCTGAACTTTTTTTTTTTTTTTTTAATTATTATTATTATTTTTTAAGCTGGCTAGTCTTAATTTTACTACTTGGTTTTGATTGTACATGTCCTTCTTGTTTGATCTGAAAACCTTCCAAATACTAAAAAGGTAGCCTATTTTTTTTTTTTACTTGTAAACTGGCATAGATTTTCTCAAATACACCTTCTCCCCAGCTCCCCCAGGTGGTATTGAATGTTGCCCTAGTTTTCATTCATTGTGCTCTGGGCTATCCATCAAGAAATGAAGTCTGCTAGTAAATGTATAGGGGAAAAGGGGAAAATTATCTACAGACACATGATTCTAACAGTAAACCAGCCCTCTCTCAGGATTCAGGGGATGTGTTTTAGGAAAAATATTTTTTTCCTTCTATGTTTCATCTACCGGGGATTCCTTTAGGAACCAGTTTATCAGTGAACGTTATATTTAAATGAGGGATATTTTCACCTTCAGCTTCACTGGAATTTAATTAGAAATGCCCCAAAGAAAAAACTTTACTGCCACCTATAGTGCTTTAAATTGATTTAAAGATGATTTGCATATGTGGTGCCTCGTTTTTAGGATCTGCACCTGGAAATGAAAACACGGAAACCAACATTATCTTTTGTAAGCTTCTATATGTATTGTGTCTGTGAGCAAAAAGACTATAATTTATAGAAGAAAGATTGCTGAAGCAAATAACCTGCAAAATGATACATATACCTTGTAAAACTTGGGGTTCCTTTTATTATGAAGG